GTGCTTCCCAGAGCTTCCTAGCTGGTGGTCTGGAGAGATAATGTCAGGGCCGGGCCTCCTGGGTAGCCCCTGCCCATTCCCCGAGCCCTGAGCCCGGGCCCTCACAGGGCAGTAGCACTTTCTGCAAATAACTGCTGACTTGAAGGTGCCTTTTCTGGCTGAGTCAGGGTTCACTAAGGGCCAGAGTGGCCCCTCACCAGGCTGGGGCTTGAGAAAGTCCAGCTGTTTCTCTCTCAGGACGGGGAAGGCAGGGCTCACCAGGAAAGCCGAAGCCTCAAGTGAAGCAATCCCAGGATGGCAGACAATTTCCACCTGCCTGGTCCCAGCTTCCAGGAGCCAGGCGGGCAGGACTGAAGGCAAGACAGGGGTATCGGACTCTGCTTCCTGGCTCCACCTTTGTCACAGAAGATCTGGCACCAAGCTGGGTCCTGCGGGGCCACCCCGAAGAGAATCACTTACATATTCATTTAACCATTGTTTCTTGAGTGTCTGCTGTGTGCCAGCCTTGAGCCAGGAGTCAAAGACACAGAAATGCACAGGGGAGTCCCTGCCTGGGAAGATTCACGGAGACACTCCATGTGACACAAAACAGCAGCAAAGAGGGAAGTACTTGGTACAGACAAACATGGAGAGAGAGGAAGGAGGGAACGGAGGGGGTATGGAGAAAGTCTGCCACTGGCATTCAGACCTACCTCCCCCTCAGGAAGCTTCGAGTCACGGTGGGGAAATCCAGCTACCCCCACAAAGAGCCAGGGGTCACCACGGCCGGAAATGATTAGCATCTTGTGGCACGTACACACCTACGTTGGAGAGGCACAGAGGGCCCATGAAGAAGGCAGGTACTCTGGAGAATGTTCTGGAGGCCTGAAAAGCAGCCTGGTACAAGCTTTGAAGGACAGGCCAGAGGAAGCAAAGAACAACAGCTCACATTTATGGAGCAGTCACTGTGAGCTGGGGAGAGAGTTGCTAAGCCTCACATGTACTTTTTGTTTTATCTCGCACCCCACAGAGAGGTAGTTATAATTATCATCCCAATTTTCAGATTCAGAAACTGAGGCTCAGAAAGGGTCACATAGCTAGGAATGGGCAGGGCCAAGGTTCCGGCTCCAAGTCCAACTCTTCACCACCATGCTACACCATGTCCCTATCTGCAGACAGGCAGAAGGGAGGTGAGGGTACTTCCGGTGGGAGGTAAGCAAAGGTGAGCAGGTGGGACCAAGTGCTGCATGTTTGAGAGGAATCGTCCACTTCCACTCTGCATGGAGAGCCTGTGTTGTATGTGTGTGTGTGTGTGCACATACACACATACACACACGGGTGTGCACTCACATGTGCCCTACTTTACAAATGACAGATCCTGGGTTACAGAACCCCTGCGAGCCAAGTGAAAAGGAGTCAGCAGAGCACGGAAGCGAAGACCAGAGAGGAAAAGGAACTTACGGAAGGTCCCACGGCCTGTAAACAGAAGAGCTGGAACTAACTTCAAGAAACTAGAATGCTGGCCTCTTCCCTCCCCTCAGCAGTTTCTCCATGTCTGCGCAGAGTGAATCAGCTGCTGACAGGAAAACCACGGTGTAGGGGAAGCCCTGAGAGTGAGTCAGGAACCAGCCCCCCGAGAGTGAGTCAGGAGCCAGCGGGCCCTCAGACACCAACCGGGCCCGTGGCTGGCCTCCCCCCTCACAGCAGCCACGTGAAGGGAAGAGGGAAGCAAGGCAGAGCACACCACTTATGTTTACCTTTGGGCTTCCCTCCTGGCTCCTCAGATCCAGGCTCAGAGGAGGGGAAGCGGGTAGGCAGGGCAGGTCCTGCTGAGATTAAACCTGCTCCCCACCCATGGCCCCACTCCGTTCCACAGAGGGGCCCAGGCTCTTCCCTCTCTCCTGCCTCTCCCAGAGCCAATTCCTGATGGTTGGATGCTCTTGACTAAATCATAACCTTCCTGTGGGGTGAAGGAAGTGGGTATAACAGTTTGGAGCAAGGGGTTAAGGCCGAGCCAAAATCAGGAGGTGCCAGCTGGCCCGAGACACTCCAAACCCAAAGGAATGCTCAGGCCTTGGGTCAGCGGAGCCCTGTGCCAGAAGGGGGCTGTCTGGTCCTCAGGGGGAACAGGAATTGGGTCTCAGGGTCAAGAGAGTGGAGTAGGTAGGGGTAAATGGGGAGGAGAAGCTTCCAAGCAGTGGCTTTAAAGTCTGAGGCCTCAAGAGAGAGGGGACTGCCCCACATGGCAGAAACTTCAGAGGAGCCCCTGGGGAACCAAAATCCAACCCTGCACATGGGAAATTTGTGCCCCCACTGGCTAACCTCTCACCCCAGCTCTCCCTAAGCTGGGGTTAGGAGGGAGTGAGCCGAAGGCGCTTCTTCCCACCCACCCTGCTCCCAAACTCACCACGGACTGGCTCAAGCTCTGCCACATGTTTCCCCATCATGGGCAAACACAGGGTTTCCTTGGGCGGCTACCTCTCTATCACCCTGTAGCACTCATCACCCTCCCCAGTGCTCCGCACCCACCCAATCCACCACCTTCCTGAGCCCCTGCTACGCACCATGGTCTAGGCTGGGTGGGGAACAGAAAGAAACACAGGCCATTCACTGGGACGCTCTCCATTCCCACACTGCCCTGGGTCCCCTCCCACCTTTCCGATGGTGCCTTTTCTTTACCCCAGCTGCAGATACCCCCAGATGCCCCCAGACGCCCCCAGGCCCTTCTTCCCTGTTACCTCTGCAATCGGTTCATTATCCCTTGGCTACTGGGTCACCCACTCCAGCACATCTAGACGACTGTCCGCCTTTCCTAAAGTGTCACTCTGACTGTGTCACTTCCCTGCTCAGAAATCTTCAGTGGCTCTCACTTTCTACAAATCAAATCCAAACATCTCACCTTGGCATTCAAGGTTCTCCACAAGTTAATCCAATCTACCATTCCCCCTTCACACTCCTGCATGGTACCAACCCATCAGTTTCTTAAAAATTCCTTGAACACTCTAAGCTCCTTGGCTTTGCCTAGACATTTTCCTCTGCCCAAAACATTGTCTTCTGTTGTGTCTGCTGAAACCCTCCCAATCCTTAAAGCCCACCCAAAATTCCACCTCCTCCATGAAGCTTTCCTGAAGACCCCTCTAATCTTTTCTTCTTTTATCTCCTATCAGAGTCACTGGTAGCTTTGTCTTAGTTTCTTCCCAGACATTAAGCAACTAAGGATGGGATCAATGTGTCATCATTTGTCATTCCTCATGTGGGGTGGGTGGTGGTGGGGAGGACTTTCCAGTAGATGCTTACTAAGCACTGTTTGAAATGAAAATTTTCTCCCCTGACAGACACCACCTACTGACCCTCTCCCTCCCCACAATACCAAACTTTAATCTTATGCCATTCGAATACTTGGACAGGGGAGTCTGTGGCCCCAAGTTGATCTAAGCCCAACTACAACTTGGGAGCCCAGATGCCCCAATCTCGCCAACTCCAGGAATCTCCCTCGCCCTCTGCCCTGTTTCCAGTGTCTCACTTCTTCTAAGTACACCCCACCTTTACAGACAAACACACATACTCTCCTCCACATAGTGCAGCCTTCAATCAGTCTGTCCCATAACACTTTCCAACTGGTTCCAAAGTGTAGGGCCCATCTTCCCAGGAGATGCAGGGAGCCAGCATGCAGCAATCCCAGTCTCCTTCAGTGCCCAACCTGATCAAACAGACGACAGGTGCCCACACTGCTCCTCACCTCCAGCCCAAGCCAAGCGTGCAATTTGAGAGCTGGATTCCAGCCACCAGAGCAGTACAGACCCATGAAATCTCATCTGGCCCTGAGCCCTGGGTGTGAGTTATCCTCTCCGGCAGGGGCCTGGTGAGTGAGGATGGGGAGCCCTCATTGTCAGCAACTCGAAACAAAGGCAGAGGCCAGGTCCTCTGTATCTCTGTATCCCCTTGAGCCATCTAATATATAGTAGGTGCTCAGTAAACATTTTTGCGTTTATTTAATTGGACGCCCACCAACCTCAAGCAATATTATGGAAAACTCAGCCACTCTGGTCCAGATGACACTCTGAACCAATCCCAAAATGGACAAAGTGATGTTAGTGGAAGTCGGCAATTTCTGGCTCTCATAAGGTCAGAAGGGGATGTAGCCAGCCTCTGACCTTCGAAAAACAGGCTCATTCCCAGGCAGGAAGCCAGCCCACCATCTGCCCATCACATCAGAGCAGCTGTCATGTAGTGAGGCCTCGCTGGGTTCCTGGAGCCTTGCTAAGCACTGTATACACATTATTCCATCAATTCCTTACTACTGCCATTAGGTATTGTCATTATCCCCATTTTACAGATGAGGAAACTGAAGCTTGGAAAGGGAGTGGAATCCGAATCAGTTTGGTTCCAAAGCCCAAGCCCTTGACCACTGAACTAGGCTGCCCAGCTACCACAGTCCTGGCACAGAGCACCTGCCGCCACCAAGGACAGAAGCCTCCAGACCCAGGAAGTAATCCTGGGCATGCAGCAAGAGCCCCAGGCCCTGGGCTTGACTCTGGACCCAAAGTTAGGCGGGGTTTTCCCTTCTCTCCCCCACTCACCCGGATGCAAACTCGTCCCCTGCTTTCCACCCCAGGCCTCCCAGGCTAACTCACCTGGAAAAGCCCTTGAGGCAGGACAAAAGCCCCGTTGAGTTTCCCACCCAAAGTTATAGTGCGTCTCAGAGTTGCCGCGAAGGGGAGACTGAAACCTCCCTGACCTGGGCTCCACTCCCCCTATGTTTGTGGGTTCAAGCCCCATCCAAGTAACCAGTGTGACCTCTAAGGCAATTCGCGTCACACTCACAGGAACTTCCTTTTGCTCAGTGCCACTCTGCAGGCAGAGAAACTGCTGTCTGGGCAGCGCGATCTTAATACCTGTGGCTGAACTGCAGTCGGCTCTCACCTGCCAGACCTCATCTTCCTGGGTTTTAGTGAGAAAGAGCAACGCGACTATGGAGTTCACCTGGTTCAGCCTCCTCCTTTTACTGGAACCGGAGAGGTCCAGAGCCGGTGGGGGGCCGGGCCGGGAGTCACACAGCTGGTGCATGGCGGAGCCGGGGAACTTTTGCTCCTTCTCATCCACCAGCTGCCTTCGTGGCCCGACCTGTCACTTGTTGCAAGAAAGCTGCCCAAGCATTCTCTGGAAACGGGGGCGAAAACTAGCTTTGCTACTGGTTGTCCAGCTGGCCTCCCCCTGACCCTTTCTCACCTGCTGGCTCTGCTTTTTGCTCTGCGCTGCAAGCCTGGAGTCTCCCGCTCGCGCCTCAGTCAGCTTTCGACTGCGCAGCGCTGGGCTCAGTCACTCCACAGTCCCCCTCCCGACGGTCCTCCGGGAAGGCAACGGCCTCGGCTGAGCCCCGCCCCCGCCTGAGGACACGCCCTAGACACGCCCCCTGGCTTCACGACTCGGTCCGCCAGCCCCGCCCCCAGGCTCTGCAAGAACACCGTCTACCAGCCGAGCCGGACAAGGCTCCGCCCACCACGGCCTCCCAGCTCTCACGACCAGCCCCGCCCCTGGCCCCGCCCCTCCATGGCCTCCTAATCTATCCCGCCAGCCGCGTCCCCAGGCACATGGACGATGAGGTCCGCCCCTGGGCCCGCCTCCTCGGCCCTGCCCTCAGAGGCCCTCAAGCCTCTGGGCCTTGCCTAGATAAAGCTTGATTCCGGCCTGGCCGGGCCCCGTGGTCGAGCTTTGCTGGGTGGGAAGCCCCACTCACAATGCTCCCTAACGGCCCCACACCTCCTCGGTCTTCTTCGTACTTCCCAGGCCCCTCCCAGGCCGCTGGCCGTACCCCCAGGCCCTCCCACCGCCCTTCCTCGGTCACATTCTCCTCCCAGCTTACCCGCCCCCTGGCCCTCAGGTGAAACCACGCCCCAGGCACGCCCTTTCGCCTGCCTCAGCACCTCCCTAATCCTGCTCTGCCCTGCCAACCCCAGCTCCAACCCCGAGCTGGCAGGCCTCGGCCCCCCACCCTGGCATTCCAGGGCGGCTGTATCCGGGTGCACCCGGGGAAAGGCGTGGGAGCGATTTGAGTTCCAAGTCCGGACCTCTATAAGCTTGGGCCCAAGCACTTTTTGAAAATACTAACAGCTACCACTGATGAACTCTCGCCAGGGGCTGGGCTCAATGCCAAGCTGTTAAAACTACTGGCTCTTGAATTTGCACGAATCTCTGCAGATGTTGTGCCTATTTAGTGAAGAACAACCTGAGGCTCAAAGAAGGATAGTCGTGGCCTCTGAGTCTCACACTGGAGGTGGGCAGGATCCAGCCCCAGGCCCTGAATCACAGGCTTGATGCTATCCCAGCTTGCCTGGACTTGCAGGCCCCTGGAGAAGTGGCCAGGCCAGCCACCTGTTAGGGCACTGCCCAGCAGGCTGCCTGAGGTGAGGGAGGAGACGTAGGTGGCAGGAGGGGCTGCTGGCCTGAGGCCTCAGAAGCTGGCTTTCTCCCATGAGAAGTGGCCCAGAATTAAGATGGGCTGTAAAAGGTCTCCAGATGGCTTTGGTGCTCCCAACCTGTATCCCAGACTCCAGAGACCAGCTCAGGCAGGTT